TTTATTTCTGAGAGAGAGAAAGAGAGAGTGTGAGTAGGGAAGGGAGACACAGAATCTGAAGCAGGCTCCAGGCTCTGAGCTAGCTGTCAGCACAGAGCCCGACGCGGGGCTCGAACCCATGAACTGTGAGATCATGACCTGAGCTAAAGTTGGATGCTTAACCGACGGAGCCACCCAGGCGCCCCAATGTTTGTTTATTCTTGAGAGAGCACGACAGAACATGGACAGGGGAGGGGCAGAGAGAGAGAGAGAGAGAGAGAGAGGGAAACACAGAATTTGAAACAGACTCCAGGCTCTGAGCTATCAGCACAGAGCCCAAGGTGGGGCTCAAACTCACAAACTGTGAGATCATGACCTGAACTGAAGTCAGACACTTAACCAACTGAGCCACCAGGGGCCCCGAGATCCCTTTTAAGTAAAAGTAACATTAACAGTAGCACACATGGAGGAATGAAACTGAAGAATTCCGTAGAACACTCACATGGCTTTGTATGATCTCACTTTCAAATGCAAAGAGAAGAAACAAACAAAAGTATGTTGTAGCTGAAGGCTACCCACGTAATATTTTGACCACACAAGCTTCTGGGGTAGAAAAAAACGGTAGAAGAACAGTAAAAATGTTCAAGGAAAACCACCACCACAAGAATACCAAATAAAAAACAGATGCCCTACATACAGTTATTGCTACATGACAGAGCTTTTCATAGCTTTTCAATACTCCCAAGGTTCTGACAGAAAAAGAAATACACAAAATGTTTTCTTGACTATCAGCCTAAATGTCCTTCTTGCATGCTCAAACCTGAAAAGGTCAAATCAGGCAACCTAGAGACTGAGTTATTTGTGCACATAATTGATCTGCTCAACTTTATACCTTTACAGCATTTAGTAATGTACCCTGACCATAAAAGGCATTTCACACCAGTTGAACAGGTGAATGAATTATATATGGATCTCTAATCAACAAATCCAAACAGAATAAATTCCACTCAAGCTTTACTAGTTCTTTGTAAGTATTCTAGTAAAATGCAACATGTGTGTCAGAAGAGACAGAGTAACTAAATAACATTAGACCTCTATCATCCCCAGACATCAACAGGAAGCTGAAATTGCAATAGAGACAGGTCACAAAATACAATCAAAACTGACTAACACACCACGCGCGCGCACACACACACACACACACACACACACAAATAGCCTAACATTTACCTACATCAATCCCTGGCCTATTCAAAAGCCTTTGCTTCTTTAGCAGCAATGACAAGAAAACCTGACCATGTCCCAAATTAAAAAAAAAAAAAAAAGCTTAAAAGAACTTGACTACATTTGTCTAGCTTTGGAACCAACTTTTACTCAATTAAATTCAAAGAAACAGAAGTTGGGGCGCCTGGGTGGCTTAGTCGGTTAAGCGTCCGACTTTCGCTTAGGTCATGATCTCGCGGTTCGTGGGTTCGAGCCCCGCGTCGGGCTCTGTGCTGACTGCCAGCTCAGAGCCTGGAGCCTGTTTCAAAGTCTGTGACTCCCTCTCTCTCTGACCCTCCCCTGCTCACTCTCTCTCTCTCTCTCTCTCTCTCCTAGAAATAAATTAAAAAACATTAAAAATTTAAAAAAAAAAGAAACAAAAGTTAACTTCAAGTACTTTGTTTTAAAAAATTATGTGGGTCCACCAAATACTTAAGTTTTACTCTGATTTCATCCCAACAAGGTATTCATTTAAAGATATGTCTTCCTCAGAGGCCATGAAGGGAATCACAGCTATACAGATATGCGTTAGGAGATAACAGGCCTATTCAGGTAAGTTGTAATGTGAACATGTTTTTCTAATTACAATACAATGTTTACCCGTTCGACAAACATTTGCAGTGTCAATATCCTACACAGAAAATTATTGTCGTACATGGTGCCTTGAATGTAAAGATAAAATCTGAGAAGGGCCTATCCTAGCCTCAAGAGGAGATAAAACTGGTACATAAATACCTAAATACAAAGTAGGAAGTGTGAATGCCATGAGAGATTTGCGGATAAGGATTTTGGGAGTGCAAAGGAAGTTGTCACTACCTCACAGAAACATAACCCTTTCAACCTGTTTAAAGCAATTTCATAACTATTAACTTTCTCAGGCTCACAGCAGCCAATCCTAGGCCAGTGGATGTTCCCCTGCCATCGCAGAAGAGGAAACTGAAGCACAGAAAGGTCAATCAAGTTCCAAAATGTCACACAGTTAGTAAAAGTCAGAATCAGGACTCTCTATATTGTATTTTCTCTGGAGGAGTAGTTCAACATATGGTAAGCCTTTTGTAAAAGGAAAGAGTATTTTGGTATTGCAAGTAATCCCATCCTTATGTATGTACGTAAGTATGTGCATATTATTTATATATACGTGTGTTAACCTTGATTTACATTGACAGGTGTGCTTAAAGCAAGGCAACTGTGTACTATAAATATTAAAATGAATAAATAAGCTTCCACCGGGATTTAACAGAATGAGCAAATACAAACAGTATTTCTTTCTCCAACTTGGGTCTATTCCTTCAGTAATTTTTACCCATTTTTAAATAAGATCCTAAAATTGTTCTATCTGCTCCTGAGCCAGGGCCACTTGGTTTAACCAATAAATATCTTTATGAAAGGTGCGTTAAGACAAATTTTTTAACTATTAAAAATCAAATAATGCCATCAGCTCTCCAGCTGCCGAAGGGACAATCACATTCGGCCTATCAGCAGTAGCTATTGATCAAGATACGTTAAAGGAATGAATGAGTATTTATTGGCGTTTTAAAATCCCGGGCCTGTTGCTCTTGGCTCGTGTTGGGCCGCCCATCATCGCCTCACCAGGATGCACACAAGGAATGTAAATTTCAATACAATTACGATACAATTAGGGAAGCCAATCTGATGCAGTTGAATACACTAATCCCAAAGATTAGAATTACCTACACCACAGCTGTCCAAGGTGAACTCTGTTGAAAGTGGCACTGTGGCATGCGATATCACGAAAAGAACTGACCCTTCCTGAGCACTTTTCATAAATATCACTCATTCCCATCCACACCTTTAATGCACGACCATGCCTAATCCAGTTAAATCGAAGAATTCGGTCTCCTCCCCATTAAGACCGGTTTCTCAATTACAGTTTCTCAAATCCCTCTTCCTCTAAAAAAAAAAAAAAAAAAATAGAATTCACCGACTTCACACAGTAAGACACCAATAATAAAAGGCAGAAGATACAGGGTTCCGATCTTTGCCGTCTCCACCACGACCCACCCTTCGCCATTACACCCCGAAGTGGTCTGGTTAGAAGGTGAACTAGTTTGCTCTTCACGCACTTGTGTCCATCGCTGTCACCCTCCCTAAGCCCTTCCACACTCCCAAGACGGCCACCAACTCCGCCTCGGAGGGAGCCCAGGCCCGCCACCTGTGCCGGCCACACCTGGAGTCCCCCGGCCCTCCGGGTCTCCCCAGTCGGCCCGCAGGACTCCGCACGCCCCCTCCCCACAGGACACCCGGCCGGCCGCAGCCCATTCTTCCTCCAAACTCCATAAGCCTCTTCCACTCGCCCAGCCCCAGCTCCGCGCCGCGCCCGACTCGCCCCGGGCGGCCGACGGGAAGAGGCCGGGCGTCCGCGGCGGGTCCCGACCCACCGGGCCCGCGACGCCCCTCGCCCGGCCGCGAAGCCGCTCCTGCGGCCGGCGCCCTGGGAGCCCTCGGAAGCCCTGGAGCGAGCGGGGGCCCGGAGGCCGGGGTTGCGGGCTGCGGGGCCTACTCACCCGGAGCTGGCGGAGCGTGGTGGCCGGCGCGCCCCCGGGCCTGCGGAGCAGGACGCGGCCCCGGCGCGCGTCCCTACCCCGGGACCTCGCTCGGCGCGGCGAGCCGGGAGCTCACTCCAGCCGCCGCCGCCGCCGCCGCTGCTGCTTCGCCACCTTGGCCGCCATCTTGACTCAACCCCTCTCCCTCCCCCCCCCCGGCTCCGGCGGCCGCGGCTAAGGCGGCTCCGGTGCCGGCTCCTCCTCCTTCCGGAGGGCTGGGAGACCGTCTCCCTCCGCTGGCCGAGCGCCGCTCCTACCTCGGCCGAGCTTCCTGGGTCGTCCCACGCCAGGTCCCCTCAGGTCTCCCCTCGGCCTGGCGGCGGCTGTCCCCTCGAGCCGAGACGGGCCGGGGCCGCGCCCGGCCGGGCCCAGCGCGCTGCCATCGCGCACTCGGGCCCGGGCGCCCGCCGCCAGCCCGCCGGTCTCCGCGCGCTCCGGGCCTTGCCCCGGGGCGTGGGAAAGGGAAGGACCCAGGGCCATGCCTCGGGCCCTGCACCCCTCCGCGGCCCGACGGGACGGCGGCCGCCTGCTCGGGCGCCGGGCTGCAGGAAGGGAAGTCAGGTCCCCAGTGCTGGGACCAGAGGGGTGCACGTAGACCTCCCCAAGGCACTTTCCGGGGCTGCGGCGGTAATTCGCCGTGGGACTTCCCTGATATGTCAGGCGATGCTGACCTGTCCATGACTGTCGTTCCTTAATCTAAAGCCACACTCGTCGGAAGAGGCTGTGGCCCTCGCAACTGCGAAGTGCGCTCTCTTAGCCTTGCTCTTCTACAGAAATGACTGGACGGTTCCTCGTAACCGCGTGCTTCTCCTTCAGAGGAGCCACCACTCCACATCCCAAAATTAAGAAGGAAAAGCAAAGTCAGTTCATCCGGATAAGGAGCTAACCATAGAATTACGAGAAAGTCACGGGTTTTAAGATCTGAGTTACAAAATGGTGCGTTCAAGAGAGGAGGGAACTCAAGATGGGGAGGGCGGGTATTTTCAAACGCTTCTTTTTAAACCCATGGCACTGTAAGGACAAAGGTAGAAAACTGGACAAGGGGTTGGTCTCTGAAATCGAGAAGGCAAAAAGGCGTCGTAGATGCTGCATAAAGTAGAGGAAACTGGATAAAGAAGGGTTGGGAGGCGTCCATGCAAAACCACAGCAGGAACCCAACGTCTAAAAACCTCTGCTCGGCCTGACCGACTTAGACTCGGAACGCAAATTCCGCGAGCGCAGTGTTCCCGCCGGAGTCTGGGTCTGAGGCAACCTTCCTCCTGCGCAGGCGCAGTGCCACCTACAGAGCATGGAAGCGGTGGCTTTTCTGTGTTTGGCCGCGGCGGCGCTAGGATGGGGCTTCCTCTGGGTTTGGGACTCTTGGGAACGCGTGAAGGGTCAGGAGCCGGCTGGCGTGCCGGGAGATGGAAGCAGGACCCTCCTGGTGATCGCGCACCCCGACGATGAAGCCATGTTCTTTGCTCCCACTGTGCTAGGCTTGGCCCGCCTGCGGCACCGGCTGTACTTGCTCTGCTTCTCTGCAGGTAGGAGGCTGTAGGCGGGGCGCTGGGAGCCGGGGCTAGGAAGGGTGTTTAGGTGCCCTCCGGCTTCTTCCCGAAGGGTTCTCTGCTGTAGGCAGCTAAGTGAGTACACAGAAGGTCCCTACTGTGGACACTTCGCGGAGAGTCGGTGGCCCCAGCCTGTGGACTGTCGCGGCCAGGTTCTCAGGTGGGTTGGGGACGTCCCCAGCTTACGTACTTCACTGCCCGCAGAATTGAGGAGCACAAGTAATAGGTTAACATTTCGTTCCTTTCAATAACCTACATTTCCGTTGGGAACTGCGACTGTGCTCATTATTCTGTGGAACCTTTTTATGTGCTAAATGGACCAGGAATAATGATCTTACTGTGGGACACGCAACAGATTCCAGGCTGTGTCATGCCTGCTCAGCCCTTAAAATTTTACTACTCAAGGTAGCAACGGACCTTCCTGCTGCTTTTAAAAATCCATTTTGTGCTAGAAAGATGCGTATGTCAAACTGAAGAGAGAGATACTCAGAGCGTTAGACTAGAAAATAGTTTTATAGGCAATTTTAGAGTTCAGCTCCACCAACTACCAGTGAAGAGGCCTTTCAAAGAGTAAGTCCTCTTTTATCAGATAGAAAAAGATGGACTGAGAAAACGAAAATTGACTATGATACTGGATTATGGTGATACTTGCACGCTGTATAAGTGTAATTGAACTGTACACAGACAGTGGGTGAATTTTACGTATGTAAAATCATACCTCAATAAAGCTGTTTTTTTAACAAATGTCCATGACCGCTTTTCCCATTTGGTTGTGTGTCATTACAGTTCTTTTTCTACACAGATTTTTTTTTTTTTTGCAGAAATCTCATAGTTTTATAATTTTCACTGAACGTTATTTTTCATTTACCAAGTTTTTATTCAAAATGTATGTACACTGCACGCTATTAGAATGGCCAGAATCCATCGCCATGACAACCCCAGATGCTGGTGAGGATGTGGAGCCTAAGAGCTCATTGATGGTGGGAATGCAGAGTGCTTCAGCCACTTCCAAAGTGGCAGTTTCTTATAAACATACTCTTACCGAACCATTTAGCAGTCGCCTTTCTTGATATTTACCCAAAGAAGGTAAAAACATGTCCACACAAAAACCTGCCCACAGATGTTTATAGCAGCTTTACTCATAATTGCCAAAATTTGGAAGCAACCAAAACGTCCTTCAATTGGTATTATAGATAAATAAGTTGGTACATCCAGGCCACGGAATATTATTCAGCGTTATTCTTTTATGAGAAATCATAAAAGAGATGCTAATAAACATCAGAGAAGAAGGAACATGCAGGAGAACTAATCGAATAGAAGTGTAGAATGGGAATAATCAACAAAACAATGCATTTTGAAGAGCTTAGTATTGGAAATACTTGTTACTACTGCTCATTGCAAAGAGTTGGACACTGTTCTCAGGCAGTGTGTATTTCTAATGCCACTTGATACAAATATCCGCAGATAGTCAGAAAAAGACAGTTTCCCAAATTATTGGCCCTGTTAATGATGACCTATCTGTAAGTCACAGATCCGAGAAACTAACAAAAACTGGTACTCCCCTTAGTAAAATCAATATTAACACACTCCTTTTAGGAATAATCAGAAAATACAGTACTTACTGCATCTGAAACTAAGTAACATTGTGTATCAACTATATTTAATTAAAAAAATATACAGTACTTACAAGTAGGGTATGTTGGTTGATAATAGCAAATGGCAGTGTTTCTCCATCTTGGCTGCTTAATATTTTGTTTTTAATGGTCTTTTAAAACCTTGTTCTACAGTTTTTTTAGGATTTTATATTTAAGTAATCTCTAAAGCCAATGTGGGGTTCATAACTCCAAGATGAAGAGTCACATGCTTGGGGCGTCTGGGTGGCTCAGTAGGTTGAGCATCTGACTTTGGCTCAGGTCATGATGTCACCATTCGTGGGTTCAGGCCCCACATCAGGCTTTGTGCTGACAGCTACCTCAGAGCCTGGAGCCTGCTTCGGATTCTGTATCTCCCTCTCTCTCTGATCCTTCCCTGCTCACGCTGCCTCTCTCTCTCGATCTCTCTCTCAGAAATATATTTTAAAAACATTAAAAATTTAAAAAAAAAGAGTCGCATGCTTCACTGACTGAGCCAGCCAGGTGCCCCTACTTTTTTGGTTTTTGATTTTGCTGCAGCCATCATAGCGGGTGTGATGATACCTCATTGTGGTTTTGCCTTAATTTCCCTAACGACTAATGATATTGAGCATCTTTTCATGTGCTTATTGGTCATCTATCTTTGGAAAACTGTTCTCTGTAACTTAACTGTGTAAGTAATTTGACCATTTTTTGTTTATTCTTTTAATGTTTATTCATCTTTAAGAGACAGCATCCCAATCAGGGCCTGTGGGGGTGGGGCTCGAACTCATGAACCTTGAGATACAACCTTAGCAGAGATCAAGAGTCAGACGCTTAACCAACTGAGCCACCAAGCACCCCAATTCTAGTATCATTTTTAAAACACGATTTCTCCAACTGGGTTCTGTGGACACATTCTAATGAAAGAGAGTCTAGCTCTTTGGTTTCAACTTCCTTTGGGGAACACTGCCTCCTCCTTTTATCTGTCCACTAGTGTTGCTAGTGTTGCTAGTTAGTTCTTGCTGTCACTAATCTCTGGGCCACTTCATTGGTCCCTGATTGGTCCTCAAATCTTCCACCAGTTATGCATCAACTTATTTTCATTAAATTCTTACTGATGTGGGGGCGCCTGGCTTGCTCAGTCAGTTAGGCGTCCAACTTCAGCTCGGGTCATGATCTCACGGTTCGTGGGTTCGGGCCCCACGTCGGGCTCTGTGCTGACTGCTAGCTCAGAGCCTGGAGCCTGCTTCAGATTTTTGAGTCTCCCTCTCTCTCTGAACCTCCCCTCCTCATGCTGTCTCTCTCTCTCTCTCTCTCTCTCTCTCTCTCTCTCAGAAATAACAGGTGCCCCTCAAATATATTTTACTTTCTTTCTTTTTTTTTTTTTTTATTTATTTCTAGGAGAGAGAGCGTGAGCAGGGGAGGGTCAGAGAGAGAGGGAGACACAGACTCCGAAATAGGCTCCAGGCTCTG